GAGCTGAGGCAGCTGGTCACATGTATCTACAGACAGGAAGTGGAGCCAGGCTAAGAAATTCAAGTGCCTTCTTCCCCTGTGACTCACTTCCTTCAGCAATGCTTATCTCCTAAAGGTTCCACAGCCTTCCGTAATAGTGCTACCATCTGATGACCAAGGATCCCACTGCAGGATCCTATGGTCACATTCAAACTGCAGCACTAGGCTTACCTGTGTGTGTGTGTGTGTGTGTGTGTGTGTGTGTGTGTGTGTGTTTACCGCTCCTACCCAAAGACAACTGTTGACCTTTTTATTAAGTTTTCATCTTTCATTAATTCAGCTATAAAATATGTAGTCTTTTTTGTTTTGTTTTGTTTTGTTTTTTAAGACAGGGTTTCTCTGTGTAACTTTGGGCCTTTCCTGGAACTCACTCTGTAGCCCAGGTTGGCCTCGAACTCACAGAGATCTACCTGCCTCTGCCTCCCAGGTGCTGGGATTAAAGGTACCACCACCAGCACCCCAGCAAAATATGTAGTCTTTTACATCTAGCTCTTTGCCTTTACCATATTTTTTGAGGCTTTTCCATGTCATTTGTATCAGTAGTTCATTCCTTTTTATTGTTGAATAGTATTTCATTTTATGAATATACACTGTCCATTTCTTCCATTGTTTCCAATTTTTGCTGTTATGGATAATGCCACTATGAGCATTTCCATTCACACCTTTGTGTGGACACGTGTTTTCATTAGCTCTGAATGATAAAAAGGAGTATTGCTATCTTATGATAGGGGCAATTTCTTAAGAAACTGCTCAACTGTACTGGGAATAATGATGCATACTTAGAACCCAGCACTTGAGAGACTGAGCAGGAGGATGAGCTACACAGTGAACTGGAGACTATCTGGGCTATATTTTAAGACACTGACTTAAAATAATAGTAATAAAATGGTGAGAGATTTCTAAAGTAGCCATCTCGTCTGATAGTCTCACTGGTTGTTTAGATGGGATTCCACTCCTCCTGTTCTCCTCAGCATGACTTCATTATAGGAATCATAGTGACAGATCACTGTGGGTCGATTTGATCAATGTAACTTCCAATGACTAAAGCTGTTGAACATACCCCGAGGTGCTCCTTCGCCCCCTCTGTAGATTCCTTGGTGCAATCAATCGCCAGCAAGTCTGTGAAGAACTCTTGCCCGCGTTCTGGTTGAGTTCTTTTCTTCTGGTTTGGAGTTGAAAGAGGCTTGTTTGCCTGTTTTTTGTTGTTTGTTTTGTTTTTTAAGGCAGTTTTTCTGTGGAACAGCCCTGGAACTCACTTTGCAGACCAGGCTAGCCCCGAACTCATAGAGATCCTCCTGCCTCTGCCTCCCAAGTGCTGGGATTAAGTGTGTGCCACCACTGCCTGGCTAGTTTGCCTGGTTTTAAAGACAGAATCTCATGTATCCTAGGCTACCCCTTCTTTCTATAGCTGAGGATGACCTTGAACCTCTGATGCTAACCTCCTGCCTAGCATGTGTTAGGTGCCAGTGTTTGGGTTACAGGTGTCTGACACTGTGCCCGGTTTATGTGGTGCTAGGGACTGAACTCAGGGTTTTGTACATGGTAGGCAAACACTCTACCAACGGAGCTACACACCCTCCACCCAAAGTTCTCTATATGTTCTAGAAACAAGAGCAACCGTTTTTAATGATGAATTATCTGATTTATCTGGTTGTTGGTTTTTGTTTTGGGGGGTCCTTTTGTTTTGCTTTTTTTGTTTTTGTTTGGCTTTGCTATGTGTTCCTTGTCTTCATGATAGCCTCACACTACATAGTAGCTAAGGATGAGTTTAAACTCTGATCGTCCTGCCTCCACCTCAGGGTACTAAAGCTGTGTGCTTTTTGTGTCATCTAATAATATAAATAGTTTCTGCCCAATTAGTGTTTCTTTTCTTTATCTTTGTTGTGTTTGAATTGAACCAAGGGCCTCAAATGCTAGGCAAGGCATTCTACCCCAACTCTTTCGGGTGCTTCTTGGCTGCATGCAGTTTTGTCCCCAGGGGAAATTTGACTGTCAAAATGGAGAAGACAGTTGCTAGTGAAGCAGAAGGCCAAGGACATAATTAAGCATCTATAAAGCACACGGCAGCTTCACAGTGAAGAATTGTGAACCTGTAAAGGGAACAGCACGGACCGACCTGACCCATCCCAAAGTCACATGGATTTTCCTCCTTGTGTTCTTATGTGTGCTGATGTGGGGTCCTTGCTCTTTGTCTGATCTTGTTTTCTCAGTGCTGGGGATTAAATCCATAGCCCTGTACCTGCTGGGCAGGTTCTACTACTGAGCTACAGCTCCACCTATAGGTGGTCTACTTTGAGTTAGCTTCTGCATACCTGGCAGGAAGGGAATAAATTTATTCCTTCATGGGAGGATATGCGGATGTTTCTGCCTTATTGGTTGGCCATGGGTATCCAATCCCTATGAATTTTCCAGCCCCTTCATTAAGAGGTCATGGTGCTAGAGACAATTGTGTGTTACATTTTTTTTTCCCTATGGTTTTTCTTACAACTTCCCTCATCAGGTCTGATGTGGATTCTGTGCACATCATTTGCCAACAGAAGAGAAAGGCCAAACCAGAAATGTTGTTGGCATTTGGATCAGTTCTTGTCTAACGTTCTTTGTTTTTCTTTTTCTGCATCTTTTAGTTTATTTGAACATTTTCCAATGTTCCATTATGATTTCTCTACTGTGGCAATATTTGGTGATATTTTCGGAGGTGTCTTGATTGGTTTCTTGTTTGCTTGTTTTGCTTTGTTTTTGCAAGATGTGTTTCTATGTGCCCCAGGCATCTGTGTTAGCTCCACAAGACTTAAGGACAGTCACCCATTTGCACTGGGAGCCACTGCTTCTCCTGCTGGCTTCAGCTAGTGTGGTCCTCCACAGAACTTCCTTCGGTGATTCTCCTAGAATACGTTTGCTGCCAATGAGTTTTCTTAGTCTCTTTAATCTAAGAATGTCATGGTCTGTTTTGTACTAGAGTTCAAACCTGGGTGTGGGCCACACTACGCAAATACTGTATGAAAATGTTTTTATTTGGCTGTCATTCCCGAGATGTATTTCTGCTGGATGAAGAGTTCTGGTTTGGCCTTTCTCTTCTGTTGGCATGGTCTGTCTTCATTTTTCCCCATGTGTATATATGTGAGTTTACACGTGGGTGTGCACATGTGTATGGGTATAGTACATGTGTGTACATGTCTGGGAGACCTGAAGTTGATGTTGGGACTCTTTCTTAATTCCTCTTCCACTTAATTCTTGGAGGTAGGATCTCTGAATCAAATCCAGAGCTTGCTGAGACACTCTTACAACTAGCAGGTTTGATCCTGTGTTCAAACACCTTACCACTGTCTTCTGAGGCTGGAACTTCAGGCAGGCCATCACACCCATTCAGCATTTATGTGGGTCCTGGGGACCCAGACTCTGGTCTTCTTGCTTGCATGGTAAATGCTTTAACCTCTGAGCCGTTTCACCAGCCCCTATCTCCATCAACATTTTCTGTATATTCCCCTTCCTCTGACTCCTCTAGTCTTTGATTAAAAACAATGCAATGTCATTTGAATTGTGGTTCCCTTTAAGTGATGTTCTAGTTCCTCCTGGCTGCTTTCAGGATGTTTTCTGCTCTAGGAATGTTGCTCATTGGTGGTGGTGTTTGCCTAGTATATGTCAGGTCCTCAGTTCAATCACCAGTTCGAAAATATATTTTTAATGCCTTTCTAGAGGTGTTTTTTTAATTTATTTTAAATGTATATGTATGTATGTGTGTGCGTGCCTGTGGAGGCTAGAGTAGGGATCAGATACCTGGAAACCGGAGCTACAGGCAGTTATGAGCTGCCTGACATAGGTGTGCAAGCACTTGGGAGGATTGCCATGAGTTCGAAGCCAGCCCAGAGTACAGATAAGACCTTGTAAGATAATATAAGTCTTGTGAAAACAAAGTTAGCTTTGAGAACTCTGTGGTAGGTCTTGGGGTGAGTTTCTTTTGTTTAACTATGCTGAGCTTCTTGACTTGAGGTAAACTGAGGAAGCTCTTGGGCCGCATTCCTTCAGATGCTGTCCCACACCACACCTCCTCTCTGGGATTCTAAGAATAGGAACATTAAACCTTTTGAGTCATGTTCTCGGACCCTGAGTTCTGCTTATCATGTCTTTGGTCTTGGATAATTTCTTCATTCTGTTATCTTCCTTCTGTGGTCTCCTCCATCTGATACCCTCACATTTTATGTGTTTAATGTAATTTTCAACCCTAACATTCCCACTTAGTTCCCCTTAGTAGAGGGAGATGAGTGCTTGCCCCCAGCTAGCTTTCCTCTCTGTGCTGCCTCTGGAATAGAGCCACCGCCCACATTCAGAGCGGGCCTTCACACCTCAGTCACCCTGGCCAGAAAACCCCTCACCACACCTGGAAGTTTGATTTCAAAGTGGTTCTAGATCTTGTCTAGTTGGCAATCAATATAAACCATCACAAATAGAGACTTGCATTAGGGTGAGCACTGGGGAACAAGAGCAGTATTGACAAACGTTCACTAAGCGCCATCTTCAAGAAGAAAATGGGAAGATTTGACTCAGTAAGAGATTACATCCATATCATGAACAGGGAATATTAACACTTGTTTGTACTGTGGATGATGAGACAAGTTTCCTTTTAGCAACAGCAGCTAGAGTTAAAGTCTTCTTGCGCTGGGCTAAGTGCTAAGCATGCAGAAAGCCCTAGCTATGGTCCTTGAACCATAATAGTTAAAATCCATTTCTTCAGAGCAAGCTGGCTCATGTCTGTAATCCTAGCACTTGGGAGGTGGAGGCAGGAGGATCAGCAGTTCAGGGCCAGCCTTAGCTACGTGAATCCCTGAGAGTTTGTCCTCAACTCCTGAGCCCCTCCTACTTCAGTTCCCCCATTGGATGGCTTCTTGGTTGCAGCCACGCAGGTTCCTTTTGGCCTGTTTTGGGATATTCTACTCCTCCAACACCTGTCTCTCCGCTCTCCACAGCTGCTTCAGCTCTCAGCCGCTGCTGTGGAGAAAGGCCGCAGCGTCGGGGAGGTTCTGCAGTCGGTGCTGAGGTATGAGAAGGAGCGACAGCTGGATGAGGCGGTGGGAAACGTCACGCGACTGCAGCTGCTGGACTGGCTGATGGCAAACCTGTGATTGGGGCCCACCTGGTGTTCCAGCAGTGGGCCATGTCCCCACTCCCTCAGCTCCCCTCCCTGTCACCCAGAGCCCTAAAGTTCCCTTCACACCACCCACACCAGATGCACCATCTAACGCTACTCACTGGATTTTGCAGATTTTCTTGTCCATGCGAGCAAGGACATAAATTAAAAGATTACAATTAAAGGGCTGCACAAGTTTGGCTTACTTTTGTTTGAAAGGTAAGGCTGCACTCTCTATCAGAGAAAGCCATCGGAGGGAGGGCAGGGACCGAATGGCAGAGAAGAACGGCCCAGCAACCCACTCAGTTCCCTGCCGTCCCCAGCTATGAGCTGATTAAACCAGTCCCTTAAAATAAGCCACAGTTGGGTTTACTATTTCGTTCTCATCCTTTAGAACCACAACAACCAGAAAACAGTTTCTAACAGCCAGGCAAAATTATTCACACTGTGCTGTTGTGGGTATGGCCTCATGTGGTCTGCACAGCTGTGGAACCACTGCCCGCCTCCAACCGTACCCACAGTTCAAGGTAGAGCTGAAACAGCCCAGGGGCTGTGGGTGTGGCAGATGTAGCCCGAGTGATCCTATACAGTGATCCTAGGTTTCATCCCAGTGGCAAAAAAGAAAGCACTGGACTAAGGCTGAGTTCTCGGTAGTGTGGTAGTTCAGGCTGCAATGCTTGCGCTTGGGCAGTGCAGACAGTATGTTCAGTAGCTTAAAGTGATCCTCTGCCCCATATCCAGTTCCACTCTAAACTACATTTATTTATGCATTTATTTGGGGGCAAGACGTGCCTACCACAGCCCGGGTGTGGAGGTCAGAGGACAACTCGAGAGAATCAGTTCTCTTCCTCCACCATGTGAGGTCTGGGGCTCTTACTCCTGGCAAGAAAGAAACGCAGACTATTCATTAAGTTTGGCGGCAATAACTTTTACCCACTGAGCCATCTTGCTAACCCAGACTTTTTTTCTTTTACATTTGTTTATTGATTTATTTTAGAGGATGCGGCTAATGTTTTTGGTGGTGAGGTGGGCTCTGAAGTAGCCTACCTCACCCAGAGCTGGCTGAGTTCCAGCCAGTCAAAACACCACTGCAGCCAGCTTTTCACTTGGGTACTAAGGACCACATTCAAGCCCTCCTGCTTATGTGGCAAGCGCTCTACCACCTGAGCTGTATCCCCAACCCCAAGACTGCACTTTGGAGAGGATGTGTGTAATCCCTTAACTTCCCGGCTGAGCCTGTCATCAGAACAAAGCCAGCTACAGAGAAGCAGAGGGAGGCCAGAGGCAAGGCTAATAGATGAATGGGGAATCTGAACTGTTCCTTAACTGTACAAATCAACAAGCTGGTATGACAGCAGCCAGCATTTTCCAACAAGAACACCAGGCTGAGGACCTAGGTCAGCTGGCAAAATGTTTGCCACATAAGCATAAGGACCTGAGTTCGATACCCAGGACCAATGGAAAAAGACCAGACATGGAACTACAGAGATGGATGGCTAAGTGGTAGAGCACTTGCTCGTTCTTCAAGAGGACCCGAGTTCAGTTCCCAGCACCCACATCAGGCAGGTCACAACCACATGCAACTCCAGCTCCAGAGGATCTGTGTAGACAGATCTCTGCTCAGTGGCCAGCCAGTCCGACCTACTTGGCAAGTTTCAGGCCAGTGAGAAATTGCCTCAAGAAACCATGTGGACAGTAAGAAGGATGACACCCAAGGTTATTCTCTAGCCTCCATGTGCACCTGCACACACATATATACAAGCGCACGAACAAAACAAGAGAATCCTGATTGGCACCGATTGACAGTCACAAACAAGATCTGATTTTATTTGGAGTTCCGTGAATGAGGCTGTAGCATCTGACGCTGCCCCCTACACAAACATACACACACCTTAAAAAGTAAGTTCAGGTAAAGCCCCTCCCTCCCCCGGCCCCCGTCAACCTTCACTGGAGGAATCATGCCAACTCACCATGTAAATAGAGTTTGATTTTTCTTACAAACCTTTATGCATTAAAAAAGCAATGTGAAGTATTGTACAATCGAAGTGCCTTCTCTAATACAAATCGCTGGTGGAAAGGAACAGGATGCACCCTCCACAAGGGTCACATGATGGGTGGTAAAATGTTAGTGCTCTTAGGGGAGGAGGTGCATTGTTGTTCTGTGGACACCTCTGACCCAGAAACAGTCTCTGGCTTTCCAGAAGCTTCTGCTAGATGAGGCAGCTGGACTGTGTCAGCTGTGTGCTGGAGAGAGCTCTGCCGTTTGCCTGAGTTCTGACCGTGCTTCTCAGTATCATCTTTCGGTTTGTCTGTAGTTTCTTTGGTGGTCTCTTCTGCAGGAAGGAAGGAACAAAGAGAATCCTTCAAACAATAGCCACTGTGTACTAGACGTTACATCAGTTTAGGGAAATTGAACATTCTGTGGCCAGCATTATTCTAAGCACTTTGTACTTATCCATTTGATCCCTTTCTAATCCCCACAGAATAAGCACTATTGTCATATGTTTATAAGCTGATACAGAGAGAGGTCAATTGCCTAAGAGCCACACCTGGTACTGCAGAAGCAGAATTTAGTCCCACCTGAGTCCAGTGATCTGTCTTACTAGGCTGCACTGCAAAGAAAAATTTGCCTCATGCCATTGTATGTCATTCTGATGACGTAAAAGGGGGTGGAGAGATGGCCTGGCAGTTAAGAGCACTTGCTGCTCTGCCAGAGGACCAGAGCTCCATTTCCAGCACCCACATACAAGGTTACAACTGCTGTAACTCCAGCTCCAGGGACTCTGGAACGCTTTGTGGGCACCAGCACACACAAAAATAATAAAATGCATTTTAAAAAGAACATAAAAGGTGGTCATAGGACACAAGGGGTAAGCATAATAAAAGAACGAAGAAGGAGAAAGGGAATTGAATATTGAAAAATGGAAAATCCTAATGGCAAAAGGCCAAAAGGAGGAATCCATCTAGAATGAAGTCTCCCAAAAGAGGAAACTCACAAAAATAAGAAATGGTAAGCTCCTGTTGGTGTAGTCGGGGCTGAATCAGCCCACATCCCATGCAGACATCAGGGCTCGCTCACCCGTGCCTGGCTCCTTGGACTGTACCTGTTTTGCATTTGCTGGACCGATGCTCTTCAACCTTGTCCTTGCTCATCTCAGAAGAAGTAGAGACACTGGACTTCCTTAGGATCTGCGGCCTGGGCCGGCTTTTGAGTTTCCGTGGCTCGTGAATCCAGGCATGCTTGAGGGCCTGGTCGGGGGTCATGCGGAGAGAAGGCTCCCATCTGGACACCAAGACAGCCCAACATGAGCCTGTTGCTGTTGACGTAACCCTTCTCATAGTAAAACAGTTTGTAAACCTGATCAAGATGTTTTCCATTTTAGCTGTGTTGTATCTCAGAGATGTCAAAGAACAGAGGAGATGACATAATTGTAAAATGGCTGCAAACAGCTATTGATATTTTTTAAAGGAAAGCTGCATAATGAACCAAGTACTCTATTAATACTAAATTGTCTAGAATTCCTAGAAATTCTCTTACAGGAAATACTGTTTAGGGCTGGGGGTGTAGTTCAGGAGTAGAGCACCTGCCTAGCATGTGTGAGACCCTGCGTACAGTCTCCAGAACTGCAACAAACAATTCGAAGAAATATTAAAGAATCCTAGCCAATTAAACATATGATTTGGCAAGTTAAGAAAATGGAAACAAGATGCATGCTTCTCAAACTATGGGATTTGGGGCTCCAAAGATAAGGGAAAAGAAAATCGTAGGATATCAGATTCATATGGAGGCAGAGTATGATGGCATATGCCTAATCCCGGCTCTGGGGCAGTGGAGGCAGGAGGATCAGAGAAGTTCAAGTCCAGCTTCAAATATGTAGTGAATTTGAGGCTAGCCTATGCTACATGAGATCATGTATCAAAAAAAAAAAAAAAAGCTATCCATGGAGGCTGTAATTCAAGGAAATTTCTAACATAGTAACAAAATGCATTTTATAGAACTCTAACAAACCATTCTACCACTGTAAAATGCCTTCAGGAACTATACTAGCACAGATCTCAATTTTGAAGTTTTCTGAATTTCTTTTGTTTTTTTCATGCTAGACAACAGACCCAGGGCCTCAAGTACTCTCAGAAATCACTCTACCATTGAGCTTCACCCTAGTACTTTTCAATTGTATTTGAAAAAGGATCTTATTTAGCCAGGGCTGAACTCAGACTTTAAATTCTGCTTCAGCTTCCCAAACAGCTGGGTTTATATACATTTGCCATCTCACTCAGCTGAAAAACACCAATCTGATAAAGGTTTTCATGTTCAATCTTATGGAGCCAAGATCGACTTATCGCCCTGTAACTTTCACCCAAGTCTAAATTCTGCCCATTCGCGTTATACAGGATAAAATAGCTGACCCTGCCTCTAGGTCCTAGTCCTTTGAACTATGTGAAAACTAGTGCTAAAACACCCTATTTCTCCAGAACGACAGAGAAAGACACGCTCTTCTGCAAACTTCAGTCACCACAATCTATTGGCTGTTTGCTGTGGTTCTGTCGGCTGGCCATCTTTCATGGTGGGCACTTCCATCTCTGTCCAGCATGCTGGGCAGAGCTTCCAACTACAGGGAGGCAGTGTGAACATTCTAGCTCATCAAAGTCATCAGCCACACAAGCTCTTGGTTGCCAAGTGAACTGCTGCTGAGCTATGTCTCCGCTCTCCTGAACTTCTACAGTTAGTTTCTAAGACTAGGCAGCAGGTCTTAACATGCTCCATCTAACACATACATGCTGGCTTTGGCTCAGAACCTCTAGCCTGCCATTCCAAAGCTTTGCTGCTTAGCGATTTCGGGTTGAGTAACAGGCCCAGTCAACATTGCTGCCTTGTATGAGTTGAGAGCAGTTGATCCTTTTAAATAAATAAATAATAAATAATAAATAAATAAATAAATAAATAAATAAATAAATAAATAAATAAATAAATAAATAAGCAAACAATAAATAAATCTGTCTTGCTCTTGAACTAGGTTCTAGATGATTAGAGTTCTGGGTAACCCAAATCCAGTCTCAGTGATGGTTTCTGTCATTTTTTAAGGGACATTCATACTATAGCCTTAGCCAGAGGTTGGGGTGACATAGGAGGGTAAAGATAAGGTACAGGAGCCCTCTCTTTGATTTCAGGTGGAAAATCGCATGACTA